TTGTTTACTGTTAAAATGCAAAATGACCGGAAACCTGAATACTCCGAACTACTTTCGCATTCGTTTTTATCAATTTAGACGTACCGCTACATGGTGCGCGCAAAGAAAAAATTAAGGACGAAGATACTCGCATGCGATCACGTGTTATGTTTTAGAATTGACGCTGGATGGAGCTGATTATCAAGAGTTGTAGAAAGTTTTAAATTTCTTTTTTTACTTTAAGTCGTTGTTTGTACTCTAAGAAATCATCCTATAATGGTATAAAAATGTAAAAAGAATGCTTATTCTGCAGGTGATGTAGAATGATGGGATAATTTTATATAACATTGCCAGCTTTCGAAGTTGTTGATTAAAATCTGCTTTCGAATTCGTGATATGTAGCACAAGAGGATACTAGACCGTTAATGCCAATGATCATGCCTACAAACCTTTATTCTTCCAGAAAACAAAAGCAGAGGTTCCAGGTTGCGTAATGGCAAACCGCACATTGAGTTAAACAGTGTTAAACGAATGTCGCATATTGCGCATGCTCAGAAAAGAATTTGGCGTAATAACTATGTCGGCGCGATTTGAAAAGAAGATAAATAGGCATATGTAGATGTACCGCCTCTGATTGTAAACAAATCTGGCGTTTAAAACTTCGAGAGTATAATGTAAATGAAATTAATTACTGTGTTAAAATACTATTTTTTGCTGTACTTCTCAAACAACTAGAAAGCTGAAATTATTGCGAAGTAAGTGAAGCAGTGGTTGCATTCAAATGTAAGATATAATACTTATGAAATTTTGCACATTCCTCTGGAACTGTAAAATTTTCTTTCAGAAAAAGACTGAAAATTTAGGATATATTAGTTGAAAATTTATTCATTATACTTTAAGCAATAAAACATTCAGGATTACCATACGTTCCGTCGTACATACATAAAGAAATACTGAGGAATATAACAAGTGCTTGCAATAACTGAATTTTACAATTCCTTAATGCTAGTTATTAAATTCTTTGAAATAAGAAAATAAAAGCGCGAACATACGTTAACAGACTAAGCGAGAAAATCCAGTTTAAATCGCTGAATTATAACATATAAACAAATTACATCTAAATAACGAATTATGGCACAATATATGTTAATAAATATTAAATGCACTGTTATTGACAAATTAAAATATATAAGAAAAATAGGCAAGTGCAATCGGTATGGACGTTAAAATAAATAATAAACAAAGTTCCACATCACTGCAGTTGTAAACATCACTCGACCTCACTCGGACAGCCATGGAGATCACGAATAAGCTAGCGTAGGGTTGCGTAGTCGCCAATATTTCTCCCCGCGCCAAAGGTACACCATCAAGCATGCGCATTAAGCGAAATTCGCTTAACACTGTTCAACTCAATGTGCGGTCTGCCATTACGCTTCCAGGTTTGAGCGCCTTCTCAGGAGCATTACAATTTATTCTTACGATTTACCATGGCCGGTAAGTTTTAATATTCTTAAACCCAGTTTTCATTAAAAAAAGTTTTATAGATTTTGTACCCTGAAGAATTTCTGAGTAGTAACTGTGATGCAATGATATCCTGCATATAAAGATCTATAAATTATCATTGTCAAAAATATATCAATAATGCATAAAATATTCAACAAGATTAAAATTGTCATGGGAATATGACTCAATATATCATTGTTTCTTCAGAAATTCCGTAAAGAAGGGGGATTGCAGAAAAACACAATAAAAAATTTGCACTTTAATGGGCTTTTTGTAAATGTCCTCTAAATTTTTGGCAGTATCCGTCTTTTGCATTTATTTCAGCACCTAAATATAGAAAGAAATTATGCAGTTTGAAGTTACTAAGTTTATTCGTGTAACAATAATACGTTACGATTATTTGTAATTCGTGATTTCATAAAGCATATGTATGTTATAATAAAGTTAGAATTCATTTTAAAAATAGTGGTTTAAATCAGCAAAATTTAGTCAATTTTAAACATGAAATTTAAGTTGGAAATAAATCGAAGTTTGAAATTAATACACTTAACGCACAGAGGGAAATTCCCGTAATTAGGGTTGCCATTTTTCTTGCAATTCGAGATTGCCACTTTCATTCGGAAAGTGCACTATGAAAACGACATTTTTGTTAAAAATGCAGTTCGTAAAAATTCGTTCTTGTACAAAAATATCTTTTCAGAATCAAAATATAATGGAGGTTTTTAAAATTGCAGTATTTGAATCGTGTTAGTTCGAAAAAAAGTAAGAAAAAAAGAAAAGAAAAAGTTCGTGGGAAGAGAATTTGAATTTTTTGTTCTTAAAACATTTTAAATCAAAATTGCATATTCAACAAAAGTGTCAAAAAGATTCAGGTGCATTTTAAAATTCCTGGAAGCAATTTTGATTGTTTTCACGACGTATTTTCGTGTCGGACGTATTTTCGTGTTTGGAAAAACAGAAGTTGTTGTCATTTCATTTAATGGGAATATTTAGTGAAAGCGCCTGTGATCTACAAATAAATAAATAAATAATATATCTATATATATATCTTAATATATTGACATTTATAGAAAAAAAAAATCTGAAATTTTTCAGATTTTAAATTACGTCCAAAGGGGCGTTTTTTTAACGTTTTAGAGTGTTACCTTTATTTATTAAATATCATGTTCTTTGCACTTAAACCATAAAATTCAGTTTCAAGAGCAATATCGAAAAATAAGTTAAATTAAGCATATCTTTAGAATTTCCAATATACACAGTCTCGCGAGCTGGAGATAAAAGTATTTTTTTTTTTCTATATAACGTTGCCATTTCTCGCTTTAAAGCATTGAGTTTGTAAATCAAAAATTCGTTAAAGTTTTACAAAATATAAAATCTATAATAAAACAAATTCCAAATTTGGGATTTCAAATGCCCATATTCGCAGTAGGATTTCGTCATTCAAAATTCGATGGCTCTATGTACCATTGTTTTATCACAATGCGAGGAAATAGACAATCATTTAATGCAGATTTTTTCATTATTTAATTTCTTCAAATATAATGCAGGACTCTAACATTTTGTGGCAACAGTTTGAAAAGTGAACCGACGTTTATGAGTCCGACGCAAAATGCCAAAACGAAAGCAATAGTCCTTCCGGACTGAAATCCCTTTGGACTAAAAAAAAAAAAAAAAAAAAAAAAAAAAAAAAAAATTGCCTAGACGCGATTTCGTAATAAAATCATTGATAAAATCCCAGTATATGGCCGTGGTACGATTTTGAAAAGTTTCGAATTTTAAAATTTTAAAATGTCTTCACGTAGCAGAAATTTATGGTGGAATATTATAGCAAAATTTACATTTTTATATTTATTTATTTATATTTTCTGTCGTTGTGCATTATGGTGTGCAGTTACAGAGAAGACAAGCTGTTAGAATAATTATAAATCTGATTCATATACAATTTAGATCTGAATGGTATAAATGTAGAACAAAAGCTATTAAAAGAATGTTAACCAAATATTGTTAAGTTAAAATAAAACTACAGCAAAAAAACTTATTTGTACCAAGTTGACTGAATATTTACTATAATTTCTTACAAAGTACCAGAATATTTTTTCATAATTAACTGTATCTATACTATTACTTTATCTATATCTTATTTTTTATTAAAAACAACTTTCTTTTTCTAATAGTTTGTTTTTATTTTAACTCGCTCTCTATGTTTGCACATTTTTTTCAAAATTATTTGGCTTTTTCCTTTTTAGGATTTACATTGCTTTTTACTTTTATTACGTATTTTTAAAATGAAATTTTAATTTGTTTAAATTAAATTCTTTCTCGCAGCAATGGCGCAAAGGATATTTAATTAATTTGTATTTAAATTAATTTTTTATAATTCAATTTAATTCTATGAAACAATTTTGTTTGTATTAGCAGCTTTAGCGCTAATACCTGGTTTGTTTTCTTTTTTTTTTTATAAAAACACTTTTTTCTAATAGTTTTGTTGTATTTTAACGCGCTCTCTATATGTTGCACATTTTTTAAAAATTATTTTGGCTTTTTTGCTTTTTAGGATTAAATTGCTTTTGAATATTTGTTAAAAAATTAATTTGTTTAAATTTAAATTCATTTCTGCGCAAGGCGAAAGATATTTAATTAAATTATTAATTAAATGATTTTTTTAAAAAATTCAATTATTCTTATGAAACAATTTTGTTTGTACTTAGCAACTTTAGCGCTAATTACCTGGTTGTTTCTCTTTTTTTTTTTAGTAAAAAACACTTTCTTTTTCTATAGTTTTGTTTTATTTTAACTCGCTCTCTATATGTTTGCACATTTTTTTATTTTTTTTAAAAATTATTTGTTTTTTCCTTTTTTTAGGATTTAAATGCTTTTTTACTTTTATACGTATTTGTTAAAAATTAAATTTAAATTTGTTTAAATATATCTTTACTAGAGTGGACTGGATCATGGGATTAATAGAAGGGCAGAGGTACAAGCCTTTTATGCTCCATTTATTATAAAAGTTTTTTTTTTATATTTCTTCTAGACTTGCATAGACGCAAGGACGCATTTGATTTTGCTAGAAGAATTTCCGTTTTTTAAAATCATTTTCAACCACGAGAACACAACTCGAAATGTTAATATATTAATTTCTTATTGCCAACAATTTTTTTTGAAATGTTGTGTAAATAAATTATACTAATGCTGCAATACAAATATTTTGTATATAATAGTAGATATAATTTTGAGTTAACTTTGATAGAACATTAAGACTTTTTATAAATATAAATAACACTGATGCTGGAATAAGATAACGAGCTCGAGATCATAATTTTTAAAAACAAACGAATGAGTTTTGTTTTATTTAAAATAAATTATCTGCCTGATATCTAAATCTGCATCCACTGCTGACGGGAGTATTATCTGATTTTTAATTTTCTAGTTGATTATATTGCTACTGACCACATCTTTTGCTAAAAAAACAATTTTTCTTCTCTAAAATTGTTAGTACTCTGAAATTCTAAGTTTTATTTATGGCATCTACTTTTTATAAAGGACTCTTTGGGATCTTGTACCGGGGTCAAAGTAATGCAGCATTCAAATCTCTATTTAATTTCAAAAGAACATTATCAATCCCACCTTCCAGAGATGCCGAAATAGATGGATTATACTTTGATAGTAATAAATCACAGAAGATCTATGAAATTAGAACGTATACTATTCATCCAAAAGATTACAAGGAATATATGAAATTCACCGAAGACAATTTTCATCTTCGTTTTAAACATTCTAAATTGTTTGGATTTTGGAGCACTGAATTTAATGCACTCAATGAAATAGTTCACATATGGGAATATGATAATCATGATCATTGTGCTAAAGTTCGCCAGGACCTTTCAGCTGACACTGAATGGCAGTCTAACTATGTGAACAAAGTTGTACCGATGTTGATTAGTGAAACAAATGCCACTACGATGCTTCTACCTTGGAGTATAATAACTCTACCTTGTAGACCAGGAGTTTATGAATTGCAAATATTTAATATGAATAGTCATACTGATATATGGGATGGAAGACTTAAAGCTGCTATGGAACTGAGTTCACTCAAGTTGAAGAGCTTTAATTCAGTTCTCATAGGTTGTTTCATATCTGTTTTTGACTCCCAAAATACTGTGCATGCTTTATGGCAGCATGAAAGCTTTGACAAATTTCCATTTGGTTGCTTGAAGTTGCTCAATGAGACCAACCTATCAGTTCTACATGCTTTTTATCGTGAAGTTCGAACCGGATACAGCAAGTGCCTGTTGCCTCACAAAGCATCACCTCTACAATGAAAATCTCCTTTATTTTGATTACAAAATTGGTGTAAACGTTATAACGATGATTGTATATAGATATTAAAATATTTGCATCATGAAAATTTGAAGGTTATTTTTATTTCCTTCTACGAAGTAAAGGAAGTATTGTAATCACGAAAAATTTCCGTTATCATATTTCAACACAAATATCCATAATTAAGACACAATAACACACCGAACAAATACTAATTCAGAAGTCAAACAACAAAAATCAGCGTTATATTTTGTAAATTATTCACAGGACTAGATTTTTTTTGGTTTTAACCGAACCACCATCGTCAGCTGCAAAAGCGCAAATGAACGAGGTAGAGTATAAAAAAGCCTGGACAGAAAATAAGCTAGTGGCGCCATCTGTTGATGAAACCAGAACTAAAACATAATTTCTTTAAAGGCCGAAGGCAAAGATGGATTGGAATTAGGATCGTTAACTAGAACAGAAAGATATTTTTTGAATGTGAAATACCTCTAGAAAATCCATTTCTCCAATGGAAGATGTTTTTTGAATAAATTTGGCATCAAAAAAATTGAAAGTGTGATTTTCGGACCAACAATGTTGGGCGACAGAAGGTATATATGTATCTTGCATAACTCAAAAACGAGTAGCCTCAGAAGGTTAGAATTTAATGTATAAGACTGATATAACATGTAGTTGTGCACCTACCTCCCTTTTTGGTTGCAATCGGTCTCACCGATTCGGAAACGTATATAAATCTAATATATATACCCACTCAGTTACTCGGCTCAGTGAGCTCAGTGTTTTTTATTCTTATATGCTGGTAAATGGCTCATTTTTTACTTGAATGATTGAATTATGCTGTTCTTATCTTCCGGTTAAGGTTTTTATGGCCTTAGTAATTCTGCATGCAATAGTTGTAGAATTAGCAAAAATTTAAAAGTTGCTAAAGTGCGGCTAAGCCAAAGTTTACTTACCATAGCAGTTTCTGCACCTTCAGTGTCTTTTTGCCGAGTTAGACCAAAGGGAAACTTAGTTTTGTGCACTGAAAAATCTGCCTTCTTGCCCGCTTGCCGAATGACTTGTTTTTGCGTGGAAACTGTGATTTTTAATTGTAAAAATTCTTTTTTTAAATTGTTTTAAATGTATTTAGTGTTTTATGTTTTTCTCTATTTTTAAAATTTTTAATAAAGATATTTTGAGGTTTTATGATTTTTGCCTTCCGCGAAGTGAGAACTAAATTAATTGAATGAGAAATATATCTCTGATGAAATTCAACGAAATAAGTCTAAATGAAATGCAGCAAAAACTGCGTATAATTTAGTATTCCGTACAAGGAAGTTATGCGGTATATACACTAGCTTTTTATTACAATATATTTCCTTGTGTAGAATGGATAAGTATGTAATTAGTTTTTTTGGCTGTATCCATTATAAGTATTTATTTAAAGCATGTGTAAGCCTGTCTTTTAAAATTTTCTTTGCAGACCTATATTTAAATATAAGGAGAATCCGGATCACGGCCTCATTTTGTATCGATAATTCTAATAGTAATGAAAGCATGTAATATGCCATGTAACACATTCAACCCAAAACTGAATAAATTTTCTCTTATTTTATTTTGCAGCAATTTATTAAAATTTCTGAGGAAAACAGGACATTATATAATATAATGATAACTGCAATTACAATCTTGAATTTTGGGAACTTTTGTTCTTAAATTTGGAAACCCTTTCATAACTGTCTACTTTTAAATCTGTTTCATAAATTAAATTATAATTTTAATATAAAGTTGAGATTGCAACTTTTTAAAAATTTTAGAACAGATTTACCAGACGCACCACGTTAACGAAATGTTACCACCAAAAATTCAAAAGCGAAATATAACAAAACTTATATAATTAAAGAAAAAAGAAAAGAAAAGAAACTCGCTTCAGATTTATCTATTTATTTATTATATTATGACTAAAGGGGCTTTTTTTAACGTTTTGTGTGTTACCTTTATTTATTAAATATTATGTTCTTCGCACTTAAACCATAAAATCCAATTCAACGGCAATATCACAAAATAATTTAAAAAGAACGTATCTTTAGAATTCCCGATACACAATCTCGCGCGCTGGAGACTAAAGGTGTATTTTTTTCTTTTTCCCCGTACATTGGCATTGCTCGCTTTGAAATCGCCGAGTTTCTTAATTAAAAATTCGTTAAAGTTTTCCAAGATATGAAATGGATAATAAAACAAATTCCACATTCCGAATTTGAGCTTCCAGATGCCCATATTTGAATGGAGGACTCGGTTATTCAAAATTGGATGGTTGTAGGTACCGTTGTTTTTTCACAGTGCGAGAAACATACATACATTCGTACAGATCTTTCATTATTTAATTTCTTTAAATATAATACAGGGCGATAATATTTGGTGGCAACAAAAACTGAGATGGCGGTTATAGTGAAACGCCACAAAATGCCGAAACGAAATTGATAGCTCTTCTGGGCTAAACAATGTAAAAATAAAAAGGAGATACCGTTCGAAAAAAGGTGTGTTTGGTGTATTTAATTATGGCAAAGCTACAGCTACTAGGGCTATCTGCCTAAGAGGAGGGGTGCTTTCGTGGAGGACTTTCTAAAGGAAACTGGCTCGTATACACGTTACACATGGGGAAAATCACGAAAACGCCCATGCAGCCGGCCCGTTCGCGGGACGTTCGAAAAAAGGAAAACAACGTTAAGAAATTAAGCATAAACTAAAAAAAAAAAGTTTTTTTGACAAAAACACAGCAAAAATAGTTTAAAACAATACGCAAAAACGCCCAATGGGGTTATATGGGTTACCATACAAAAACAAATCGAACAAAATTTGTGTGGTTACTATGCTCGACAAAAAATGGTGAAATTTGCCGATTAGTGCGTCTGGCACCCATTTTTATCAAAATGTTACTTATCATATTTACTATGATGCGAGGCCTCCTTTTTTAGTTCCTTGTACGAAGTAAAAAGGAAGTATTGTAATCGCGGAAAGTTTCAGCCAACATATTTCAACGAAAGTATCCATTTTGACCGCTATCGAATGCAATTTAACGATGTTTTTGCGTGATATCTGTACGTAAAGACAGAATAAAAGACTCGTTAGTTCCAAAAAAATTATAAAACTGCTTTAAAATCAACTCTGAAGAGAATTTTTTGTGGCGTCTGTACGAAAGTATGTATGTACGTGCGTATGTACGTATCTCGCATAACTCAAAAACGAATAGCCTCAGAACGTTGAAATTTTGTATATAGGACTGCTATAACATGTAGATGTGCACCTCGTATTTTGGTTGCAATCGGCCGCACCAAACGTATATAAATATATTTATATCCACTCTGTTACCCGGCTCAGTGATCTCAGTATCTTTACTCTTATACGTTCGTAAATTGTGCATTTTTTTGCTTTAAAAATGATTGAATTATATTGTTCTTATCTTCCGGTTAAGATTTTTATGCCTTTAGTAAATCTGTATGCAATATTTTTAGAATTATCAACAATTTTAAAGTTGTGCCCCTAAGCCTAATAATATTTTTGATGGCGACCATAGCTTGTTTACATTTGAAACAGCAGACTAGTGGATTTGTTGCCAATCTAGAGAAACTAGCTTAGCAACAACAAAGATAACGCCTTCATTTATTACTGGGAATTAAATCATGCTTAATCCTTTCTGGAATTTTTTGGAGGAAATAAGCGTTTAAGATTTACTTCGTAATTTTTAATACAGATATTTTGAGCTTTTATGTATTTTTGCCTTGTCGCGAAGTGAAAATTGAATTAATTGAATGAGAAGTACTCAATCGTCTGTGAAAAACTGTTTCTTTTTCGTTTTTTTCGCTTAATTTCTTTTATACATCGTTGTAGCATTATTAGAGTATTTGAATAGAACATGTGGCAGCGATTAGATAATTCTTCAAATGATATAAATTTTTTGCATTCCGAGTTATAATATGAACGAAATATAACGCCGTTAGGAACCTAGCGCCAGAGTGTCGCTATGGTAACAAATATACTGAACTTTAAAGAGTGCATTTATTCTGTTGTGGTTATGCACTATCGTCGAAGTAGATTTAATTCAATCCAATCAATTTAAATGAAATTCAAGAAAAAAAAAATGCGTATAATTTAATATTCCGTACAAGGAAGTCATGTGGTGTACACATCAGATTTTTTTGCTACGTTTTTGGTTCTAAAATTTGGTAGAGTATTTAGAGTATTTGGTAGAGTATTAAGTATTTAATAAGAGTATTTTGGTAAATGAAAATACTTATTAAATACTTAATAAGAGTATTTTGATAAATTAAGCTGATGAATAAAAAGAAGGAGTTTTAAGTATTTTACAACCTAAGAACAATTACGCTATTTAAGTAACTAAATTTACCACCAGCAATTTTAACAGGCGCATCCAGCTGAGAATCCTCAATTAAGACCTGCATTCACAGTACTGGCCATTATTATGCTTGAAGGAATGTATCAGTAACGCTTCCTAACTTTCCTTCGTGTACTGTAGTAAAATCGTATCCTTAACTTTCATTCTAATCAAGATCAAATGAATTCTGATTCGAAATATACTCCCCTCGGATATTTTTCATTTTTATTTCTTAAAAATTATAATATAAGGACGGTTACATATTTCAAGACACCAGGGCAGGGTTTTTCCGAGCAAATACCGTAATTTTGCTGTTAGAATTTTTTTTAGCCGAATCTTCAAAAACTTCTCTTTTAGTATACGTACATAGTACACTTGCACAAGTATGAGACATTAGGTCTTATGTCTTGCTCGCGGCTTGCCGCAATTCTTTTTCGTAAATTGTTACCATTCGCAAAACATACAGTTTATCTTCCAAATTTAATCAATATGTATATTTTTGAGCGCATTAGAATTAATAAAGACCTTTCTTTAACTTAAAATCTTATTATATTTCTAATATATCTTTACTTATACTGTCACCCAACCGCGCCTGGACGTTTGTTAACGTATAGTGTCTGTGCGGCA